CCTCCTGTATGCCCTGCTGCTGGCTTGCCATACAGAATATCACCAGGCAGGGCTCGGTGGTCCCCAAAGTGGAGATGGGAAGCCTTAACTCACCCCATACACGGGACAGGTTACAGGTTCACTGACTTCCATCACAGAAAAGGTATTTTCAGGACATGTCAGTAAGAGACATAAAGGGATTTATTAGGCAGAATTTAAAGTACATACTCAAAGAAATACAGTACAGTTCCTCAAGGGAGAGACACATTATAGTTTGGAGCTGAGAATATGTGTTTTGGTGGTGGAAATTATCCCCACAACTCTTTCACTTTGCATGCCTATAAAATCAGCATCATATGAATGATACCAAAGTCTTTTGCTAGGTCAAGCAGTAGCCATGCCCCCTTGGACCATGGTTATAGTAGCCTCTGATTGCCTGGATACCTGAGCAGGGTGAAATGAATCAGAGAGAACAAATTCTCCAGAAGTTCTTTCTTGAGCGGGGGTTCTAAGGATGCTATTCTCAAATAAAATGTAGACAAATTTTTTCCCAGAGTGTAACATACATGCTTCTAGTCCAGTTGACTGAAATCTTTATTCCCAACTGGATGCTCCTGAGCCCAGCCTTTAATGTCTACATTCTAGTCTTCTGGGCTTCAGCCGTAACCACCCATCAGGCTATGCTTACACTATTCTGACTTACTTAGCCCGCATTGCCAAACCTTTCCAAACTCCTCTTATAAAACTAGTTCCAAATACTGCTAAAACACATGGCAGGTACAGTCACAGCAGTGACCCCACTCCTGGTATGTGTTTTGCAGTAGCTTTCCTGTCACTAAGACACAATACCCGACACTCACAACTAAATAGGAAAGAGTTTATATGGATCACAGTTTAAGGGGATTTTGTCCATGTTGGCTGGCTCCAAGGCAGAAACATGATGGTAGAGCACAGATGTTTAGTTCAAAGAGCTGGGAGACATACCAAGGGAAGCATGCCAGAGAGGAAGGGGTGAGAGACCAGATGTTGTACCCAAGGTCACATCTCCACGACACAACCAGAAATGTGCTTTTCTAAGCCCCGTGTTGCTCCGAAGCCAATCAAATTGAAGCTATTAAGAAGCTTAACCACCTCAGGTGCCTAAACCAGTGGTGGAACTTGAAAGTTCTAAAAGGTTCACCACCCCTGGCCTAGACCATTTGCCAACAAACACAATAGTACCTACAAAATAAACCAAGTCATTCAGTATGTACTGAGCCCTACCACTGTTGTCAGGCAAATCCCTGAATTTCCTATATATATATATATTATATA